GGATCCCAGTGTGGGACCTCTGCTGAACCAGGGTTCTGATGATTGACACACAAACACTGTCCTTTCTGCTCCCTCCAGGGGTATGGTAGGAGCGACTGGGCCCCAGCAGTATCCCAGAGTGTTGCTGTGGGCAGCGCTGGTGAGCGTGCATGACACCCTCTCAGCCAGTCCGGGCCGTGGGTTGTTTGATCCTGTGAGTCATGTAAGATTTCTCTTCTTGGAGCCACGGTCACCCCACATCACGGAGCGGGCCTGCTCCCACCCTGTACATACCACGGAGCGGGGCTGCGCCGCACGTTTCTGGGCTGTACATTTTATGGTTACGGATCACCAGGGCATTCTTCACAGAACGGCCAGGTTAGCAGTGTTCAAAAATAACACACGTGTTATACAGGGCGTGTAATAGAGCTGTAGGTGCATAGTAGACACTTGTTGAGCACCTACTGTGTATCTCACGTCTCGGGTTTGTTTTTTTCTGCTTCAAACCATTTAAACTCAATCGTCAGGGCAGAATTATCTCTGGTTTATGGCAGGGCAGGGAGGATAAGCTGACCCCAAGACCTGTGTGCGTGTCTCAGGTGTTCACGGACTGTTTCTTGTGCACTGCCGCGTGTCAGTCCATCCTCGTACAGAGAACAAGAAGCAGTGTTTTCAAAGGTGAAAGCCATTGCTCCGCAAACTGCGAGTCAGACTCAAGTGTTGGGAACCATCCGGACCTCAGACCCCCGACAGAAGAGGGGTCTTCCCAGTCCAGTTTTCAGCGGGCTCTGTACCTTGTCCTTTCCAAAGCCACGTTTTTTTTCTTTGGGCACCCACTTAAGTGCCTTTAACCTGCAGGGGTGATGCCTGGGTCCGGATGCCCCACTCCTGTATTGGCTCTCACTGTGCATGGCTGTTGCTGGGCTCTGAAGGGTCTGGGCAGCCTGCAGACAACTGTTTTCCTCAGTCTCCTGGCTGCAGAGACAACCTTGAAGTTGTCTAATCATCACATGGCCTGTCGGATCGCTCATGGAGGTCACCAGACCATCCCTGGCCCTGCACAGGTTGGAGGAGCGGGCAGGTCTACTCAAGCATGCACGCAGTCCCGCCTGAGGCTGGCCGAGGCAGCAGTGGGTTGGGGGAGCCCTGGAGGGGAGCCCCGGGCAGGTCTAGAGCTTGGTCTTCAGTGAGAAAAGGCCGGGCTAAGCATAGCCCCTGGGCTTTGTCCTTTGACTTTGGGGAGCCTGGCCCGGCCAGGCATGTGCTGTCACGGTATTTTTAGCAGGTGGCCTCCTCCAGGAGGGCCACGTGTGTGGCTGCCATGTGCTGGCAGGTCTGGTGGTGAAGCTGCTGCCGCCGGATCAGGGAGCCACTCCAGAAACCGCTGGGGGGCGGGGGTGGGGAGTGGCTGCTGAGGTCTCTCCGGGGCTGCCTTTGCTATTCTGGGTCTGTGGCAGGCCCAGCCCTGCCTTCTGGCCAGGCAGGCATGTGACCGAGGCTGGGTGACCGGGTGAGGTGGGGGGTGGGGGATGTCAGGACTGCTGCTCTGAGATCCTGGGAAACAGGATCACACCCCACCCCCATCACGTGAAGCGGACGCTGCAAACCGCTGCGCAGGGTGGCCCTGCAGGCAGCCAGTGTGCTTTGGTTTAAACCACAGGGGTGTGAACCCAAAGACAGATCAGGCCCCCTCGATAGGATTTTGTGGGAAGCCCTGGGACGTCCAGCCTTAAAAAGGACAGGACACTTAGTCACAAGTTCCTGTGTTCCCTCTGGCTCTGGTTTCCCATTGTTTTCTGTTGCTTTTCCCTCACAAGTCTCCACTCCAGCCCTCCTGTCTGTCCCTGGGCAAGAAAAGTCAATTGTCTCAGGCCCTCCCGCTGTTGTCTGTGGTTGAGGCGGCTGGGCAGTGAGGTACCTGGATTCACACAGGGCCAGGGCCTCTATGGGGCTATGTGAGTCCCCACCGCCGGACAGGAACGCACCGTGTGAGGGTTGTGGACGAAGGGCATTGGGTGGCCATAGTGTGCTTGCCACGGGAGCCCCTGCTTACCCTGCCCGCCAGCTCCAGGGGCATCTGCTTCGGGCGTAGGTTCTGTGGATTCGCTAAACTAAGGCCGCTGGGCTGGGCGGCTCTCGGCTCTGGAGGGTGGGAACCTGGGTCTTCCGGGTCGAGTCCAGGCCCAGGTTTCCCGAAGTGGCGCTTCTGCGGTGATGTGGAAGAGCAGCCCTCTGAGCTCCTCCCCGCTTGGAACTTGGGCCTGCAGTCCCCCTGCCTCCCCTCCCAGGTACACGCCTCCATCCAGCCTCTCTCACCTGGAGCTCCTCATCCGGTGATGAGTGTGTGTGTGTGTGTGTTTTGCATGGCTTGAGGCTTGGGGTCACACTTCCAACTAGTACCTTTGTGGGGGTGGTGGGTGGAGTGTGTGTGTTTAGATTTACTAGGATCAAGGTTGGGAAAGGCCGCACGTCTAGTCCATTCCTGGGAGAAGCTCCTTTGTAGCTCCTGCCTGAAATTGGACTCGCCAGGCATCTGTCCGCCTCTGCTTCCTCAGGGCTGTGTCTCAGGGTGCCTGGCTCGCCGTCAGTGTTAAAATCTTTTATTAAATGACTAGACCTGAGGGATCCTGACATCAGTGGGGACGCAGTGTGGATGGGACACCAGGTGCTTTGGTTTCTGCAGGGCAGCAGCATCTGATGACTACTATTATGTCAGCTCAGAAGTTGGGGAGGGGCAGGGCCAGTCTGAAGCACATTTGACTTCCGCTACTTACACGGGACAATAAAGTGTCACGTTGGAAAGTTGCTGAGTTGATACTTGCTGATGGGTACTTGCTAGGATGGTTAACTCTAAAGCCTAGTGCTAACAGTATCCGCTGCTTTTTGCACGCAAGTTTCAAATGTACTCATTTCTTTAGTAAAGCACTGCTCACCTGTAGGAAGACGACTGGGCAGGTGGTGTGAAAGAGCAGTCCTTGGCCTCGTGCCTCCCATCTGGTCTCTTTACTGCAGGCTTCTCTCTGTTGCCATTTGCCTGTTTCAAATAGTTTACCTTGTTCCTTTTCTAAAAAACCGCACGATTGGATTTACTTTCTATGAGGAGGGAACTGGCTCATTCTCAAACATCTCCCCTTGCCCCTCTCACCCCGCAGGCAGAGGGAGTGGTTTGAGTGTTGGTGTGGCCCTGCATTGCCCACTCATTTTCTGATTGCGATTGTCCTTGGCCGGAGCTGCGTAGCTCCTCCTGCCGGCAGAAAGCCCCTCTCATTATGGCTGAGCCTATCCTGGTCATCCTGGGAGGCATCCCCCCGCCCACGGTTTGCTCCCTGATCTTGGTGGGGCCCCAGTTGCAGTGGCCTGCTGAGAAGGTGGGTGGGTGGGCAGCCTGCGGACTAGCAAGCTGGTTCCTGCAGAAGGCCGGGTGCCATGGAAGGCCTGGCATAGGCTTGGTGGAAAGTCTGCAGAGGCGGCTGGCCGCCAGTGGAGATGTGGAGAGCAGCGGTTCTTAACCTGTGGGTTGCGACCCCATTGGGGTTCGAATGACCCATTTACAGGGGTCACGCGATTCATCACAGAAGCAAAATTACAGTGAAGCAGCAATGAAAATAATTTTGTGGTTGGGGGTCACCACAACATGAGGAAGTATATTAAAGGGTCGCGGCATTAGGAAGGTTGAGAACCAGTGGTGTAGAGTGAGAGAGACTAGATTTAATTAAGGCATCAGGAGGAAAGGCCTGGTAGGAACGTCTGCACATTGAATGGGGCAGCCACCCCCTTGACTCCCAGAGTCCTGGCCTTCAGGCTGTGCTCACCCATCTCCCACCCTGAGTGTTTCAACCACCCAGAGACGTCTCTCGGGGGAGGCCATTGAGAACGGTCATTGAAAAACCGTGGGACATTGATTGGTTTAGTCTGGGGGACTGGCACCCGTTTCTCATTCCTCCCACACCCCACCTTCCAGTCTGTCATCTGGAACAAACTGCCCCATGCTTCCCACCTGACAGTGGCAGTGTGAGCCCTGGGGAAGGGCACGTTGGCTTTTTCTCCAAAGGAATTGACAGACAGGCTTGAGGGCAGCATCTTTGGTGCCCTGAGCTCCATTGGCACTCAGAAGTGTTTGCTGCAGAGGCCTGAGCACCTCATGGGGTCCTGTGACTTGGCGGTTCTACCATCTGTGCGATTTGGAGAATCAGTGTCCCACCCCGTTGCTCTGCCCACTTCAGGCGGTGTGAAGGAACTTTTTGCTTTTCCCCAGAGGGCGTGGCCATCTCGGTGACCTCTTAGCAAGCTTGTTTCAGCTCCTAGCTCCATGCCTGTGAGGCAGGCCCCTGGCCGTGCATTCCATGTTCCTGGAGCCCTTTCCCAGGCACTGGTTCCTGCCCCCGATTGTGTGGTGCTAGGGTTCACTCCTAGAGCCGGTGGCTGCTAAGAGCAGGTGTGGAATGAGACCTGGGTTGGTGTCACTAGAAAAGGGGGGAGGCTGGATCTTCTCCTTTACCACCAGGTTGTCCAGCCGGGGAACTCCTTTCGTTGGCCTGGGGTGAGCACACCTCATTGGAGACTGTGTCCGGAAGTGGGAATTTTGGCTTTTGGAGCTCCTGACACCCATACTCCGTCTGGGCTTCATTTTGGCTAAGAGAAGGCCTCCCCTCATGGTTCTCCAACACAGAAGGTTCACAGGTTAAGCCCCCAGCCTTCCTTCTGCTGAGCAGGCTGGGACTTCTCCATAGGCAGTCAGTTGAAATGGCAGGTACTCCTCAAAGTTGAGGCTGACCTGGTTCAGAGTCTGGGCTTGGCCGAGCCTGCAGCTGGGGGGTATCACAATGAAGGGTGTGGGCGCATCGTGGGCAAGCCCTCACAGCCCCACTGTGAGCTCATTTGGAATCTCTAGGGTGCCAACATGAGTCACAGGTCACTCGGGCCCCCTAAGTATGAAGGTAACAAGCCTGTGAGTAGCCGGGGCTGGGCTTCGACCAGCGCCTCTGAGGCATGGCTCCATCATTCTGATCCCTGGCCCCACAGCCATGCTGCTGAGGGTGAGTGGTCCAGGCTTGCCACCCCCCCACCCTCAGTGACCAGGACAACTCTGCTCAGTAAGGTAGGCTCGGGTTTCCTTGAGGGGGCTGGGGGATGGCCTTTGCTTCTAGAACTGTGCCATCCACCAGCCCAGAGTGGCCTTTAAAGTAAGTTTGTTTTAAATCAACAGTCAGCCCCTCGGTTGCACTAGTCACCTTGCGAGTGCTCCGTAGCCTCGTGGGGCTACATGGTACTGTATCAGATAGCAGTCACCAGTTGGGGACCAGCCAGGCCATGTCCCCTTGTGACCTGCTCTACTTGGCCAAGTCACAGTCACCATCCTATTTCATGGTTCCCAGACCTTGTTCCAGTTCGATTCTGTGGCCTCCCACTCCCCAAAAGTGTTTGGTTTCAAACTCCAACTTGCTGGCATGGAGTCGATGCTGGCTCACGGCAACCCTACAGGACAGGGTAGAGCTGCTCCTGTGGGTCTCTGAAACTGTAACTCTTTATGGAGTAGAAAGCCTGGCCTTTCTCCCATGGGGCGGTGTGGTGGTTTCGAACCATTTACTGTGCGGTTGGCAACCCAGTGTGTAACCACTACACTACCAGGGCTCCTTACCTTAATATTCGCCGTTTTCTTCTGCGGTGGGTTTCCCCATCCTTTACACTCAAAGGAGACACTGGCCTGTTTGGAGAGCACCTTCTTGGATTCTGCCTGCTTCAGGACTATATATAGCTCAGCGTGGCTGCTTGGAGCACAGGCGCTGTGTGCTGGCTGGAGTGTTTGGTCGGCCGAGAGCAGCGTCCTTGAGCGAGTGGAGTGGCGTGCAAGGTGCAGGATCTGCAGGGACTTAGGGAAATCACACACTTAACACAGACCCAGAGGGACCTCTGTCACTCTTGCGAAGCACTCCGCCTGGGAATGGCCTTTCCCTCTGGCCACCTGGGAGAGGGAGGGGATCCCAGGTCTGGCCTGGACCCGCCCGAACAGTTCCCAGAGTGCGGGTGGGAAGTGATCTGGCCCTTGGGAGAAGCCTTTCCAGGAGAAATCCCCTCTGCAGAACTTGAAGTGCCCCCACACTCAAGGTGAGCGGGGCTCCTGCTGGTGACAATCATGGGCAGTGGATTCCGTAGCATGTGACCTCCATTCTGAGCCCGGTGGATGTGTCTGCTCTGCTCAGGCCTGGGCTGGGGCCCAGGCTGGGCCTGTGCGGCTTGGGCTCCTGCGCTCTTTTTATGATGATACACAGCCCCCCTTTCACTATCGATGTGGCCAACGCAGCCCCGTCCCTGGTTCCCCCTTGGCAGCATGCCCAGGCACTGGCTCTCATGTCCACGCAAGCCTCTAGGGTGCAGAGCTTGGGTCTAAGGGCCACCTCACTGTTTCTGCAGGGGCTGAGCTGAGAGGGTCGGGGGCCTGTCCGTTAGAGAACCCGGAGTGAGTGGGGCTGGGCACGGGCTTGCCTTCAGCACGGTGTGACCACCCAGCGACCGGGAGGCTGTCTATTCCCGGCCACATGGGCCTGCTAAAAATAAGCAGGCAGCCAAGTCTCCTCGCCAGCAGCTGCAGGGTAGGGCTCCAGCGCAGGGCTCCAGCCTCCTATAGATGTTTCCTGGCCAGCTAGAGGAGTTGGCTTGGGTGGGTGCTGGGCAGCCTTTCACTAGCCTGTGTGTGTGTGCATGCTTTTCCACACTACTGAATGTGCCTTACATATTGAGATTGAGATTCAAAACAGAACCGAACCAAAGATCAGCCCAAAAATTGGGCAGAGAGACTTGGTGCTGGAAAGGAAGGCAACAGAGCCCGGTGAGGCTGAGAGGAGTGTTTGTGCGAGCGCGCATGCATCCTTAATTGGACATTTAGGGAAAGTTGCTGCCGCCTACACTACCTCTTCTTTGCAAGAAAGCCAAGGCTCTATGCTCCCATAAAATGTACAGCCTTGGAAACCTGCGCCCCAGTTCCCCTCTGCCCTGTAGGCTTGCCCTAAGTCACACTCATGTCAGGGAGTTGACATGGCTTATTGTAGACCTACACACCAGGGAAACGAGGGGGGCGGCATGTGTAAGGAGGTGAGGGGCTGTTTCCTTGATGGTGGGAAAAGGGGGCTGGTCTTGGCACTGGAGGGGCAAACCCATTACCTCTGGGAACCCCCAGCCAGGCCCCGAGGGGTCTCGCACACAGGGTGGTATCCAGGCCTTTGGGTGGGATGACTACTGATCCTGGGGTTGGCTCTGTGCTTGGTTGGAAGATGGCCGTCTCCATCATCACAGTCTCCTGTGTCTCAGTGGTTGGAAGCACTTGGCTGCTAACCATGAGGTGGGTGGTTTGAGCCCATGGGAAAAAGCTGTGGAGTTTGCCCCGTGAAGACTGACAACCTTGGAAACCCCGCAGAGCAGTTCTGTCCTGCTCTGGGGGGGTGCCATCACCTGGTCACCGAGACAGCAGTGGATCTGGGGCAAGGAGGCATTGTGGAGGCATCACGAGAGCCTCCCTCCACTTCCGCCTCTCCCTGATCAAATTGTGGGCTTCTTTTTTGGGGGTGGGGGTGTGGTGGTGTAGGAAAGACATTAAACACAAAGCTAGGATTCCATAAATCTTCCACTTTTTTAGCTAGTTGTTACACACAAGAGCACTCTAGACCAGACACACTATGGTCAAGTTGATCCCTACTCCTAGCGACCCCATGGCAGAGTGGAACTGCCCCGTCGGATTTCCAAGACCGTTGTCCATCTTTATGGACGCCACTATCACCTCTCCTGGGTAGCCACTGGAGGACTCAAACTGCCGACCTTTCTGTGAGCAGCGGACTGATTAATCGCCGTGCCACCGGGCCTCTGGTGGAGGTGCGTGCATCTGCTGCTTGGCTGCACATTGGAATCACCTGGGATATAATGGCCGCTGCCCTAGCCCTCCCCAGAGGCTCTGAGGTGTTGGTCTGGCAGGTAGCTGGGGCCTCGGGCTTTGAACAGTGTGCTGTGCAGGCCATTCTGAGAACCACTGTCATAGAAGCAGGGCTCTCCCCTCCTGAAAGGACCTGCAGGTAAAAAGACCCGAGGAACAGACAGCAAACGACCATTGGACTGACGGATGAGCTCGCAGGGCTCCGGGAGCGCCTGCCCGCCCGCCTCTCCCACGGACCACTTGTGGTGTGTGCCTTCTGGGAGTTGAAAAAAGGTTCAGGGCCACCGGACAGATACTCACCCCGGAGGACCGAGATACGGAGGACCGAGATACGCTGAGCCCCTTGCCGGGAACCAAGGGAGAGTCTGGCGTTATGAACCTGGGAGAAGGGGAGAGTCCGCGACTTAAGGAGCACAGCGAATGGGGAAGGGGCCCCCACCCCCAGTGGGTGCCCGAGGGTGCGGGGAGAGGCGAGCAGGTCTCTGGCCCTGGGTGACCCTGGTTTCGTCTGTCGTGAGAAGCCATTAGGCTGTTTTGTTTCGCATGCGTGCGGGCGGGCACCTCTCCTCTCACGCGTGTCTCCCCTTGGTGTCCCCAGGTCTGCTCACCTGCGCCTTGAGGATGGCAGTGCAGTTCCGCGCCCTCTTCCCGCTGGCCTTGCCTGGGGCGCTGGCGCTGCTCGGCTGGTGGTGGTTTTTCTCTCGTAAAAAAGGCCGTGTCAGCAGCCAGGACAAGCAGGCGGAGGCCAGTGCCGTGGACCTGAGCACAGACTCTGAGCATCCCACCCTCGCGGAAGACCCCGGGCCTGGAGCCCCGCCCCCCGCCCCCAGGGTCACACAGCCGCCAGAGAAGGGACTGGCCCCGGCGAGCAAGCCGCGGCCACAGCCAGCTGCTCGGCGCTCCGAGTCCTCGGGCAGCCTTCCGAACACCGCCGACGCCAGAGCCTGGCCAGCGGCACACAGAGACGACCGTGCAAAGCCCGAGTGCCCCCTGCCAGCCCTGCAGGGCGTGCCTTTCCACCATGAAGCGATCGAGGCGTGTAAACAGCCCGTGGGGAGCAGGACACCAGGGAAGGCCTGGCCGGGTCAGTCTGCAGCCCTCTCGGAAAAGCGCGGCCCCGGGGAGAAGGCGAGGGAGCCTCTCCGGGCGGAAGGGACTGGCGACGCGGTGCTGGGCGAGCGTGTGCTACCAGAAGCCGTGCTGGCCCAGGAGCTGGACTCGCCGGTGGAGAACAGCAGAGTGCCCTGTCGGGCTCCTCTGGGCGGCACGAGGGAAGAGATGGGGAAGGCCGGTCAGCCTTCAGGAGCCGGGCCGGTGCAGAAGGAAGGTGGGGCGGGAGGGCAGTTGTCCTCGGGTAACTTCATCGATCTGCTGAAGGACCCAGAGGTGCCGCCACCCACAGTTGGAGGTGACGAGCCCCGGGGCGGAGACCTGGCAGGAGAGGTGAGCCAGGAGAAGGTAGCAGGTGGCAGTGAGATGCTGGAGCAGGCTGCCTCCCAGATCATCCACAGAGCGATCCTTAGAGCCACGGAAGAAGTGCAGGCCACCATGGGGGGCCAGGTTGCAGGCAGTGAGCTCCAAGGGTCACGGGGCGAGGGCTGTGCTGTGGTCAGTCAGGAAGCTGGCCCGAGGCCCGGCGCCCGAGAGCCCACTCCGGCCACAGCAGAAGCAGCTGCGGGCACGGTGGGTCCTACCCTGCCTTCGACAGACCCTCCAGCAGAGGACCCGTCCGCACCAAAGACCTACGTCAGCTGCCTGAGCAGCCCCCTGTCCAGCCCCAGCAGGGACAGCAAGCCGAGCAGGAACTCTGCGCACCACGTCTCTCTGGTCCCCTGCTCGCCAGCAGCTGCGCCCCTGGACAAGGCAAGCGTCGTGGTGGAAGACCCCGGCTATGCGTCCTGCGTGTCAGACAGCAGCCAGGGCACCCCCTCCATGTGCTCCTCGGGCCAGTGCTCGGATTCTGCCAGCACGTCGGGGCTCAGAGACTCTTGCCCAGACACTAGCCTGAGCCCCGGGGACAAAGCCCTTGTGCCGCTGCCAGAGAGTACTGTGTCCCTCAGCAACGGGGTGCTGAGGGGGGAGTTGTCAGACCTGGGGGCTGAGGACGGATGGAGCCTGGATGCAGAAACAGACCACTCGGGAGGTACGAGGGGCTTGGGGTCCACACAGAGGGGTGGGTGGGTCTCCCTCCACTCACCATGGAAGCGAGGCTCTTTGACTCTCTGTCCCAACCAGCTGAGGAGTCTGGTGACCCAGAGACCCCCAGAGCCACGGGCACTGGCCCTTGGTATGGCAGCCAGAGACCCTCCCAGCCCTTCTGATGGGGCAGCTTAGAGCTGGGGTCATGGCTTAGTGCCGGGGTAAGGGGGAGGAGGGCGGGTCTGTCCAGTGTCTTACTTCCTTTTAATTGTTGCTTGTTTGTGTCTTCACCCGCTCTCCTCCAGAGCCCCCCCACCCCACTCCCAGGGTAAGTGCCCAGAGAATGGCCACAGCTTTGTTGAGCTGGTGGGAGGCCTGAGCTTCCCTGCCAGCTGCAACCACCCACTCCGTCACAGAGCACCTCCACCCTTGGGAAAGCGGGCACTTCCCTAACCAAGTGCCCACGGGGTCTTTCAAGCGCTGACCCCCAGCATCGACAGTTCAGTCTGCTAACGTACAGGTCAGCAACTCCTGACCCTGCCTTTGCAGCCACCCTGGGGCACTTTGCTCCCTCTTGTGGACAGCCCCGGTGGGTGGGCAGGTCTACCCCAGAGCCCTGCCTTCTCTGCTGGTGTAGCCCGGCAAAGGTGGGGCATCTTTCTTGGGGATCTCCGTCCTCAGCAGCACCGGGGGTGGGGGGCACACAAGGCACTTCCCCACCTCCAATGAGACACAGCCATCCTGTGTGCCCTGGGGAGGAAAGAGGTGAGAGGGAAAGACCAGAGGCCAAGGCCGCGTTCACCTCAGGGGTGCCCAGATATACCCCAAAGGGGGTATCTTAAAATGGTGATCCACCCCCACCCCTACCCCCCTTTTGCCTACCTCCTCTCCACTTAACAAACAAGCCCCGGAGGCTTTGTCAGTGAGGCCTGGTGGTGGAACGGTTATGTGTTAGGTCGCTCACCAAAAGACCAGCAGTTCAAACACACCAGCCACTCCTTGGGAGAAAGATGAACTCTCTGGTCCCATAAAGATTTACAGTCTGGGAAACCCACAAAGGACAATTCTAATCTGCCCTACAAGGTCACTGCAAGTCAGAACTGACTGTGGCTTTGAGTTTTCAGGCTTGTTGGGCCAGCTCTCCACTGGAGTAGCTGCAGCTATCAGTGTGTATAAGGCCCCCGAGTGCAAGCTTAGCAGAGCAGGTGGCCTTGGAGCCTGGGTGGGGGGAGCATGACAGCACCTGAGAGCGCTCCTGTGTCAGAGGCCAGGCTCAGGCGCTGTGCACAGGAGGCTGGCACGTGGGCCACAGGTTGCTAGCTGCTGGCCCGAGGTATAGCCTGCCCTGCCGTTAGCCCTGTGTGGCTCTCGGCCACCTGGGTCCCATCTGGTGTCCTTCAAAGGTCTGGAGCCCCCACTGGGCTGCTTCAGCATCTGGCAGCAGGTGGGCAAGGTGGCTTCCCCTGGAGGGGAGGTTTCCCTGCAGTGAAGCTCAGACTTGCACCCCTGGTGTGGAGGGAGGGGGTGGTCTTTTGAAGGTCACTATCTAGCTGGCAGCAGTCTTAAAGAGCTAGTGCTCTGCTCCCAAAGGTTTTGCCCAGGTTTGGGGAGAACACTTGGCAGATGGCACCATTAGTGGACCCTCAGGGCAATCTGTTTCCGGCTCTTGAGCGGGCCCCAGAGTCTCTGCATCAGCCCCTTGGCTCGGCTTCGGGAGCAGCCCCAGGCAGTGCAGGCCAGCCTCTGTTGCCCCTTTGGAATGCACATTGAACGGAGCAGCTGACTCCCTTGGCCCCAGAATGCTGCATGCAGGCTCTGTCCTCCCCTTTCCCACCCCTTGGGTGGTGAGGAAGCTGGGTGGTTGCAGACTCCCCAAAGCTGCCTGTCAGGAGAAGCCATGACCCTGTGGGGCGGGCACAGTTTCTCTCACTCATGGCTAGTCTGCCCTCTTTGGATGCCCTCTGATGCCCGCCAGGCCTAAGTAGAGGGGATGGAGGCTCTCCTTCCCCTGCCCACTGCTAGTGGGGGTGAGCCTCGGGCCTCTCCCTCGGGCTCTGCTTGGCTGGAGGCCACTCCTCTGAGCTCAGTCCCAGAGCTCTAGCTAGAACATGCCAGGCCTGTGCCTGGGACGATTGGGAGGCTGCGGAAGCAGTTGTAACAGCTCTGTGGAGGCCCTGCTGCCAGCCTTTTGTGGCCCGTCCCCCTTCTCCCTGCTCTGGGCTCCCCTTCCCCGGGCTGAGGTCACCACCTGTCTGCTCCAGCAGCTGTGGCTGGGCGCGGCTCCAATAAGCAAGTGGGACTTTAAGTGACTGGCTAAAATTAGGTGTATCTACACCCCTAGCCCCTTTCATTGGGGTGGTTCTGGGCTTTCTCCACTGAGCTGGCAGTTACCTGCCTGCTGTGAGGAGGGGGCGTGGGGCAGGGGTTCCCGGGAGAGTGAGCGAGGCCGGTGCGCTGAGCCTGTGTGCGCCCCTCGGCAGGCTCCGACGGGAACAGCATGGACTCGGTGGACAGCTGCTGCAGCCTCCAGAAGAGCGAGGCTTTCCAGAGTGCCCCGGCAGGCTCCGACCCCAAGAAGGTGGATCTCATCGTCTGGGAGATCGAGGTGCCAAAGGTACGGGTCCCGTCAGCCAGCCCAGGGGCAGACTCCAAGCTCCAGTGGGCTCCCGGCCATCAGACTTTAGGGGAGGTGGCCCGGGCAAGATGCCCTGAGTTAGTCGAGGGACAGGCAGGCTGCACCAGGCCAAGGGTCTGAGAGCTGTGCCCCACGTGGCCTGATGCCCCTCAGGAGTCTTCTCCTCGTGGCCTGATCCCCCCAGGAGTCTTCTCCTCGTGGCCTTCCTGACCTCCAGACTTGCCCTGCTTCCCAAGGGCTCTCTTGAAGGCAGGGCTGTGGGCCACACTCAGATCTCACCTTGAGGCACGTGGTAAAAGCACAGTAATAGTGCAAGGAAACTGAAGTCCTGCTCTAAGCCGACCCGAGAGCCACTGCTAAGACTTTGATTTCCTTCCCGTCTTGCACCCTGTAGCTTTTAAACAAAACTGAGCTTATGTCGCTTTAATTAATGCTTTTAAATATTTAACAATTTAATTTTCCTGTGTTATTCTCTGAAAAGGGTAACCGTGACTGTATTATTCGTTGTGTGAATGTCAGTTTTCTTCACCAGCCCCCAATTCCAATTGCTTAAGTGGCTTCTGGCCCCTTGCTGTTCCAGCGTACAATTTATTAGTTTGATCTTGAGGTTTGTCTCTGGGGCTTGGGAGTAATTGGCAGGCAGTGGTCTTTCTCCCTGGCTCTCAGCCCTCTGCCGAGGTTCAGGCCCTGGGTTGCTGCTGCCTCCCCTGCGCCCCTGTTGGTCACCCCTGCTGCCCTCCTCACCTCTGTGTGCTCCGGGTGAAGAGGGGCTGTGTCCCTGGGAGCCCCACAGGCTGCTTCAGAGCATGTCTTACTTCATAACCAAGTTTGGCTTCCTCTAACGGCCTTGGCCTGTGGCCCTCTCCTTGGCATTTCTGCCTGCCTCCCTGGTGGGGTTTGCTCAGGCCTGGGAGTTGGCAGCAGGAGCGCTGGGAGTTCTTGGCCCTTGATCTTCAAATGAGACCCCTTAACTTTACAAGGAACCCGGGTGGCACAGAGGTTAAAGCTCTCGGCTGCTCACTCGAGCCCCCACCAGGCCGCTCCGAGGGGGAACGGTGTGGCGATGTGCTGTAGAGGCCAGCGTCTCGGGCACCCTATAGGGGCAGCTCTGCTTTGCCCACGGGTGTGTGTGTGTGTGTGCGCGTCTTGGGCACCCTATGGGGGCAGCTCTGCTCTGCCCACGGGTGTGTGTGTGTGTGTTTGTTAGTGAGAGTTAATGTCACGGCAGGGGTCGGGTTTTCTGTTTGGCCCTGCGCAGTGGTGTCGGTTTGGGAGCTTGGGTGCTGCTGCCTTTGCAGCTCTCTGGGCCCCGGTTAGAATCAGAAGTGTGGGAGCCCACCAGCTCAGGCCACATGCTCAGTTTGCTGTGCAGCCTTCGACAAGTGACCTAGCCTCCCTGGGCTTGCTTCCCAACTGTAGAGCGGTGATCAGGGTGCCAGGCTGATAGGTGTTGTCACGTAAGTAGAGTGTCAGGTGGGTCAGCATGACCGCAGTCTCCGCTGCACTGTTTGTCTTTACATTTGATGTTTACTTTCTAAGAACTCCAACTACGTTTATATTTCTTACTGAAGTAGTGCGTTCATGAGTGACAGCCCAATTTACTGGGATTAATACTCAATTCATATGCTTGTCAAATTGATTCCTATCCATTAGAGATAGGTATACCACACAGAATTTCAAGATTAGAAGGCTTTAGAGAAAATGAATCGGATATTTATTTGTCACGTCATATAAATGGTGGGAGGTAAATGTATCGTTGAGGAAATAGAAATGCATCAAAATGAGGCATGCCGTAAGCCTTATGTTAAACATCCTCCCTTGGAAACTGTGCTGCTCACGGGTCTACTTTGTGCACCTGGCCGGGGCAGTCAGCATTGATCCACGTCGACCCTGTAGGACAGGGTGGGGGGCCCGTGGGTAGAACTGCTCTTCATAGCCTTAGAAAGCCTCATATTTCTCCAGGAAGCCCCTGGTGGTTTCAAACGGCTGACCTTGCAATTAACCCAACCAAAGCCACTATCGGGTCATCCTGAGCCAGGGCTGAATTGAACCACTTTTTTCGGCCACAAACCATAGGCGCTGAAAGCAGACCCTGGCCACCAAGGTCTGCAATGTCATGTTTACAACATGCTTGAACTTGCCCGTGGCTGTAATCACGGTGGTGTCTGGGGAGGGGTGTGTGTTGGGGGTTGGGTTGAGGTTTGACTTGACCTCCTCTCTCCCATCTTTTCTCTCTGGAAGCACTTGGTGGGCCGGCTCATTGGCAAGCAGGGGCGGTACGTGAGTTTTCTGAAGCAAACATCTGGCGCCAAGATCTACATTTCCACCCTGCCCTACACCCAGAACGTTCAGGTCTGCCACATCGAAGGTCAGTGGCCTTCGGTGCCCGCCGTGCCCCGTTCCCGCTCCCGTGCCCAAGCCCGAGCTGCCCACACAGGGAGCTACACCTCCAGGCGGCAGCCCTTCCCCGCCCAAGAGCTGGAGGGACCCGTGTGCCCCTCCCCACCAGATCTGGCCTGGAAAGCCAGGCCTGCCACCCCCGCTTCCCCAGCAAGGACCAGGACCTTCGCCACAGGCCCTCAAGGCAGGGTGTCAGAGGCTTTACCTAAGGCGGACCCAGCCCTTAGCCCCTGGGAACAGCGCTTGAGCTGTGGCAGGCGGTCTGTGGTGTTGGTCTCACCGACAGTGACAGTTGGCTCTGCTTCCCGCCCCCCCCCATGTAGGTTCTAAGCATCACGTGGATAAAGCGCTGAACTTGATCGGGAAGAAGTTCAAGGAGCTGAACCTCACCAATATCTACGCTCCCCCATTGCCCTCACTGGCTCTGCCTTCTCTGCCCATGACCACCTGGGTGAGCATATCCCTGTCCACTACCCAAACCACCCTCGGCAATAGCCTCCCAGGACCGGGGCTCGAGACACTCACCTCTGAGGCTGACCTGTGTACTCGGGTGGACTGGGGCGCAGGGCTGGGCAGGGAGCCGGTGGCGCAGGTCACTAGAAGGACCCCTTGTCCCCAGCTCTGCTGCCGCGCCCCCCCCCCCCCCCTTTGGGCTTTCTAGGCATTTTCCTAGAAAGGAATCCAGTCCTGTGGGTGACCTTCTGTCCCGGCAGTGGGGGCTGCTTGAAGCTGGTGCTGCTGGTCCAGGGTCACCACCACCTAGGTGGACGGCCATGGGTTTGAACAGTCCTGGTGAAGCAGTCCCTTCCCCCTCACCCTCCTCGGGAGCAAGCGCCCTGGAGGCTGCCCCTGGTCAGGAGGTGAGGCGTTGACAGGAGAGCAGCTGCCACCAGGCCTGTGTTCTGGTGGTGGCGGCCCTTCAGCACCTGTAGCATGCCTCCGCGCTGCCTGGCCCATCACAAGTGCAGTGCAGGGCTCTGGGCCCGAGGCCACTGCCCCAAGGACTGCTCTCCTGGGCTTCATTTATCACTTCATTTCTATGGACTCACCCCACCCACCAAATGGACCCTTATGTCATGGGGAAGGGCTTGGGCGTCTACTTCCTGGGGGTATGTGGGAGGGAGGGCACTGGAGCCCACTCCGTTGCCCCTCCTGCCACAGGGTGGAAGATGCTCCTCTTGTTTATTTTCAGAAGTGAGTGGTGTGTGGCCCCCTTCCCTGGTGTTCCGCTTGGCTCCAAGGGGCTGGGAAGGTGGCACAGGTGCTCTCAGCAGGCGGAGCTGGAGGGGTGGTCTCTGCCAGGGCCTCTACCCTGCCTGGAGCTCCTGGAGGTTGCTGGGGCCTGGCAGCAGGAAGGCTAGTGTCCACAAAGATTTCCTGGAGGCCAGTGCTGGCATCCTCCCAGAGCCTGGCCACTGAGCCTGCCTGTCTTCAAACCCCAAAGGGAGCAGGTGGCCATGCCTGCAGCTAAGGGGAGGAGCAAGCCAGAGGGGCGGAAGGAAGGCAGCAGGAAGAGGGGCAAATAGCAGATACCATGCAGGCCACCACAGCTTGCCCCCGCCTGCTGTGATGAAGGCAGAGGAGAGGGCCACTCTAGAGTCGGAAGCCCCCGGAGTCATCAGCACCCTCCTCAGAGGACCTGGTTCAGAGATAAGAGGGCCTGCTCACAGCCTCTTCTGACCCTGTTCCCAGGAGCCCAGGAACCAGCTCACTCACATGTCTGCCCCACCCTGGGTCTTACAGACTCATCCAGATTGGTGGGAGGGAGGGGAAGCTCTGGATGGACCCTGGCCAGGCCAGCATGAGGCTCAACACTACCTCCACCCCTGGCTCCTGAGTGCTCGCAGTCTGCTGGGCGCCTCCCTGCCCGCCCCCGAGGTGAGGGCGCCTCTAGCGGGTCACTTGTGGAGTTGCAGGACAAGGGCAGCACAGCGGTGTCAATCCCCCACCTTCCCTGGTTCCAGGAGGCTTCCTTCAGCCCTTATCACCTGGGTGCATGCTGTTGGGGGTCACCACGCCCCCTCGAGGATGTGAAAGCTCAGAGCTGAGCCCCGGGCCTCAGGTCTTCCCCAACCCCCAGGAAGAGGAGGGGCCACAGTGACCACGGCAGCATCTCCCCTTCCTGTCCACAGCTCCTACTGCCCAGTGGCGTCACTGTGGAGGTGATCGTGGTCAGCCAGGTCAACGCTGGGCACCTGTTTGTGCAGCAGCACACCCACCCCACCTTCCATGCCCTGCGCAGCCTGGACCAGCAGATGTATCTCTGCTACTCGCAGCCCGGCATCCCCACCTTGCCGACCCCTGTGGAAAGTACGTGATGGGGGGTGGGGGTGCACTGGGGCCTGGCTCTGGCTGGCTAGGAGGGGATGCTCAGCAGGTGCCTGCTCTGCCCTCAGTCTGGACCACACACAGGTCCCCTCCACCCCCCAGGTGTCCCCATGGCATGTAGTCTCGGCAGGCCAGGCCCAGAGAGCCAGCACTGGTGCTGATTCTGGCTTGGTGACACAGGCATTCAGAAAGCACCCCTGCTGGCTGGGTTCCCTGGGCTGACAGCCGAGGGTCCGGGGAGGGGAGGTAGGTAAAGCATCTGACGTGGACGCTGGTGGCCGTGCCCTTCCCCTTCCCCTGAAAGGGCGCTCAGGCCCTACCTGTGCGTCTCATCTCCAGGGCACAGGTGAGAGAGTCGAGTCTCTGAAGCCTAGTGTCGGCCCAGGTGACACCTGAGCAGATGCCAGGGGTCCGAGTCCACCCTTTGATGCCCTTGACAATGAGCACTGAGTGTTAGACCATCTTTCCACCCACCCCCATCAGGGGTCTTGGCTTCTCCTAGCCCAGCGACCCCCTGGAAGAGCTTTGTGTCAAAGTCCCTGGATAGTTATGTAGCAGTTTGCGTAGCTTTGCTCATAGAGGCATGAGGACTTCATTCCCACTGCCTCCACCCAGCAGTAAGGGCAGGACCGGAGTATTACGACGTGACTGTCCCAAGGTTGCCCTAGGGTGGCCTCCACCCTGTTTGGATGGGTGACCCTGTGGGGACAGTGTCTCTGGCCTTGCTGGCTGTCAGAGGCAAAGGGAAGTGCTTAGTTCCGGTTAGCTTAGGGTGGGATACATGCCAGGCCACGGCCCCATGTCTGAGTCCCGGGCCTGGCCAGGCTGGACTGGGGATTCATTCCCCCCCTCCTGGTGCGGGGCGGTGGGGGGAGTAGGCGGGCGGGCAGCCGTATCCACATGCCCCCTTCCCGCCCTGCAGTTGCGGTCATCTGCGCTGCCCCCGGTGCGGACGGGGCCTGGTGGCGCGCACAGGTGGTCGCCTCCTACGAGGAGACCGGCGAAGTGGAGATTCGCTACGTGGACTACGGTGGATACAAGAGGGTGAAGGTGGATGTGCTCCGGCAGATCAGGTGAGTGGACACCCCCGGACAGACAGGTGGACAGAGGGCCGGCTAGTGGGCAGTGGAGCATGTGCCCTGTTCCCGCGCCCAGGGGAGCGGGGTCTGGTAGGAAGCCGAAGGCTGGCCTCAGCAAGGCCAAACCAGGCAGCAAACCGGTCTCCCCCGGCCCCTGGGCTGCGGCCTCGGACACAGGCCTGCGTGTGAGGTGTGCGTGCTGGTGTGAGTGGCTGGGCTGCCCCGCTTTCCCTGGAGCCAGTCTTCAGTCATGTGTGAGCCGCTCCTTGTCGCCTTCACAGGTCAGACTTTGTGACGCTGCCGTTCCAGGGAGCAGAAGTTCTCCTGGACGGCGTGATGCCTCTGTCAGGTAACAGGTGGGGCTCTGGCGGTGGCTGCGTGGGAGGGGACACTCCGACACCGGTAACTCACTGTCGGAGTTTCTGATTGAGAGCTGGGCGAGGCATTTCTGACGGGTGTCCCTGTGGCCCCCGTTTAGCCCTTGTGTCCACCTGGGTCCCCAGCTCTGAGGTACTTCCGACAGAGGCACTTTGCAGTGTCTAGTCCAGCCCCGGGGTCTGTGGCTGGGCTCAGGACAGCTGTGGACGGAGCCTGCTGCTCTGCTCGACTGGGGCGTGGCTCCCTTGGGACAGTGGTGGTATCACACCAGCACTGTGGCCGGCGGCCCTGGACTGGGCAGCAGTGACAGAGGAGAGAGGCCTGGCAGTGTGGCCCTTGGTCGTTCTTGGGGTCCCACTGTCCCTCTTCCGGGCCCACCCTGCCTCGTCTTGTTGGTGCCGCTGGCCCAGGCAGCAGAGCAGTTGCCGCCTATGGGAGACTTGGGCACCCTTCAGTCTGTCCAGGCCCTGCTAAAACAAGTGCTCACTAAGATTTTCCTGGCCACCTTCAATGCCAGGCTCTCTCGGATGCCCTACCTTGTGCAGTGGGTGAGCGTGTTTCGTTCATTGTCATTATTACATTCGTAACTGTCATATGCCAGGCTGTGCTAGAAGCTCTACATACACTCCACCCAGCTTGGGAGACCCTGCAAGGCAGGCAGCAGAGTCTTGAGCCCAGCCCGACAGGCCACGTCACTTCTCTCCCCACTAGTTTTTCATCTGTAGCACCCAGCAGAGGCCTGCCTCGAGAGTTGCGGTGAATCTGGGTGCAGACTGTTCACATTGTGGATTAAGCAACAAACAGCAAAAAGACCTCACTGCCATCCAGTGGAATCCGACTCCTAGGAGCCCTGGTGGTGTAGTGGGTGGCGCGTTAGACTGGTAACCACAGGGTCAGCAGTTTGAAACCACTGGCCGCCCACGGGGAAAGCCAGGGCCTTCTGCTGTAGAGAGATCCTATCTCGGAAGCCCACGGGGCAGTTAGTCCTCCTGCGGGTGGCTGTGAGCCAGATTAGGAGGTGCTGGTTTCGTTTCAGGTCATCAGTTTTGTTACTTAACAGTTGACACTGCGAATCTGCACCCATCCTGTGATTTCTCCCTTCACCCACATTAACCCCGTCAGTCCTCGGCCCGTGGCTTCACCTGCCCGCCTCCCTCTGTTACCAGTCTTCTCGTGTGGCACTTACCTCTCCGCCCTGTGGCCTGGCCTCTAGGCAAGCTCTGAAATGGGACTTTATCCCCCCCCCACCCCCTCCTGTGGAGCAGGTTCTTAGACTCATTCATCCAGTCTGGCTGCCCCCAGGCTGGGCCCCTCGGCGCCCTGGCTGCCACCTTGATAGAGCTGGGTGCCCATTGCTTGAGCTTCTCCCTTCACTGCTCTAGGAGCTACTTGACCTTGGGCAGTCCACCTTGGTCTCAGGTGTTCTCACCTGTAAGTTGAGGGCATCTGACTGCATCAAAGGCGTCCCCCAGGCTGCGATGATGGTCATTCGCTCCCAGAGGGCTGGGCTTCTGCCCCTTTGAGTCTCTGTTAGCGGGCAGCAGGGACCCCGAGCTTAGCCACCTGGAGTCACAGGTGTACCAGACAGGTGGCTGGCTCTCCCAGGTGAAGTCCCCCAGTCCCCCGACTGGGCGGCGAGTGGGTGATAGGAACGCCCTGTCCCGGGGGGCTGGGTGTGTGTGTGTGTGTGTGTGTGTGTGTGTGTGTGTGTGTGTGTGTGTGTGTGGAGGGGGGAGGTGTCTTAACAGATCCTTTCCTCTCGCCGACAGATGATGAGCACTTTTCCCCGGAGGCAGACGCAGCCATGAGCGAGATGACCGGAAATGCAGCCCTGCTTGCTCAGGTGGGCACCAGGATCTGTCCGGGGGCGGGGCTAGGGAGGTGGGTGCCCGGGCCTCTCCCAGCTTTCAGTGGGCGTGTGCGTGCTGGTGTGTTGTAGGTGACGAGTTACAGTCAGACGGGCCTCCCCCTGATCCAGCTGTGGAGCGTGGTTGGCGATGACGTAAGTGCTGCCCTTCCCCCTCCTGACCACCACCGAGGTGCCGGGAGCCGCTCTCCCCGTGCCTCTCAGCTAATCCAGCAGGTTGGACTCTCCACCCACAGTCCCCCGTGCTGGGCTTCTAACCTCAAGGTCAGCAGCTCGAAACCCCCAGTGGCTCCCAGGGAGAAAGAGGAGGCTCTCTGCTCCTGTAAAGAGACTTTCCTGGGCCGGTTCTTTTCTACCTGGTGGGTCTCTGAGTCAGAGTCGACTCGATGGCAGTGAGTTGGAGAGACCTTTTGGGTGGGCACTGTCGGGTGTAGTGGCATCGGCCAGGGATGCTAGGACACACTGCATTTGGGAGGACAGCCCCCCCACCCCACCCACCCAAGCCCTGATGTCAGTGGTGGGGGGTGGGAGGGGGCAACTCTGATCCCAGACTTTCCCATCTGTCCCCTCCCACCATAGGGGTTTCCCGTCCTGTTTTCACAAGACTGGAAATCATATCCTCAGCATACCATAAAGCACATCCCACGTCAGAGGAACCTTGGTTAGGCATTGGACTCTAACCGCAAGGTTGGGGGTTCAAATCCACCAGCTGTTGTGGGGCGGGGGGTGGGGGGCAAGATGAGGCTGTCTGCTCCCATAAGTAAAGATTTACAGTCTCAGAAACCCACGGGAGCAATTCTATTCTGTCTTTGTAGCATCGCGGTGAGTCAGAACCCACCAGCTGGCAGGGGGTAACTCATACTAAAAAACCCAGGAACAGCAAGCCTGGCCCCTCCCCATGCTCCTGGGTAGCTGGCCTGGGCATGTTGGGTTGTGACCTCCAGTTGGCTGGAGCCTCTGCCCCAGCTGCCGGGGACAGAGCTCTCAGGGGACTCTTTCTTCTAGGTGGTGTTGATAAACCGGTGGCTGGTGGAGCGAGGACTTGCCCAGTGGGTGGACAGCTGTTACCCGAACCTTTGACCCTCACCCCTCAACACAGCCGCTGCACCAGTCTTTTTGCTGTTAAAATTGAGCTTGGCACTCAAGGCAAAGACCTGACATCAGAATAACAAAACGTTGTCCTCCCAGAAAGCCATCCTGTCTCTTTCCTGTTGCGATGAAAGGGAAGGACAGGCCTGTGTGTTCTTTTCAAAGCCATAGGTTGGTACTCCACAAGCCCACTGACTTAATCTGGTTCCACTTGTGAACAGAGAGAGCGACCTCAACTAGATTGGTCCTGTTCCCCCCTGCCATCCCCCCCTTTCCACCTCCCTTCGCGACCCTCCCCCTCCCCCAACAACTCAGCCGAGGGCGGGGTCTCAGCACAGAGCCGTGCTGAAGGGTCTCTGACTTCAGACCCTCTCTCCTACCTTCAGGGAGGAAGACAGGAACTGACTAACTATATCAGTTGCTCATATAGCTTTATGTATGTGATCGATGGCATTTAGGCATTTTTTATGGGCTTTGTCAGGCCTCTGAGGACCCACACTTTTTTTAATGGGGTGAAGGGTGGTGGCCAACACACACCTCTGGCCTGGGGGTGGGGGTGGGGGGTGGAGCCGGTGACCCTGCCAAGCCGGGTGTAATTTGTAATCATTTTCTATTTGTGCAAACTCTGTAAATATGTTTAAAATGTAATATTTTGTACACGATCTACTGGAGAACAAAGGGACCGGAGCTTGCCACCCCATGTTACCTGTGAGCACTCGGCAGAGGGGACAGCCGGCCGGCCCCTTGCACTCCCCGCCCATGTGATGGGGAACTGTGGCCGAGGGGTTTGCTGCTGTACAAATTTGTAAAAAAACAAAAACAAAACACAACTCATTGAATTAACCCCGTGGTGGTGTGTGTATTCCTTTTTCTTTTAATTGGTCTTCAGCCTTATGCAATTAAAAAATTCCCCTTATAGCTTACACTGGTTATCAGTCTGGGATTGTATACACTGTAGTGGAGTCTGAGGAGCCTTGATGGGATAGTGGATTAAGCGCCGGGCTGCTGACCACACCATCAGCAGTTCGAAACCACCAGCCGCTCTTTGGGAAAAAGATGGGGCTCTGCTCTTAAAAAGATTTCCCGCCTCGGAGCCGTTCTGCTCTGCCCTACAGAGTCATTTTCAACTTAATGGCAGTGGGTTTGAGTGAGGCTGGGTCCATATCTCCGATGGTGACAATGGGGGCGGGGAGGGGGGTGGGTTATTTGTTAAGCAGACTGGACACCCCACCCACTCGTCCCCCTACAAAACTGCACAGAAGCCGTGTTTGAGGCAGCCTGGCCAGAAATTTCCACTTGGCCCTTCTCCCAGTTCTCCACCAGGTGGCAGTGGAGGCTCTGATCACGGCATCTCCAGCCAGCCTGGCTTCCAGAGGCATTGTGCCTTCATACAGTATATGCTATGTAATTGACTGTGTGACTTTTTACCATAAGCCTTTGAAGTTGATGCCGATGCAGTGACCCTACAGCATAGGGTAGACCTGCCCTTGTGAAATTCCATGACTAAACCTGGGAGTAGATGGCCCCCCCCCCCCCCCCTTGTATCCTAAGGAGCAGCTGGGAGTTTCGAACTGCAGATCTTGTTAGCAGGCCAACGTGTAACCACCATGCTACCAGGACTCCTTTACTGTAGTGACTGGAAAGGCATAACTCTGTTGACTGCAATGAGAATCGGCCATCAGTCTCCTTCCTGGGTGGTCCTTCCCCAGCATCTCCCTTGCTTTAGGTCCACGCCTCCAGGTGTCTTTGGGAAGCTTAGATGCCGTGGTGACCCGTAAGTCCCCTCGGGTTTCACCCAGCCCCAGCCCAGCACCCTCTGATCTGTGGGAGCCTTAACACTGCTTCAAGGTGCAGGCTTCTCCTGGGTTCCTTCCAGGGGAGGCGGGGCCTCTTCCCCTGGGACCCTGTGGCTAACAAAGGTTGGCAGCTTCAGCTTCTTCCTGTGGGGTCAGATAATCATCCTACCTCATAGGGCAAGGGCTCAGCGACAACCAGAGCTGACCCTGGTGTGCCAAGCCTGGCACAGAGCCTGCTCGTGCGGTCTCAGCTGCCATGAGCACTGTCGGGACGGATTGGGGGGTGACAGCTGTTTATGTTGCCCTGTCCCCCGGTCCTCCCCCCTCATTTCTACCGTAGCTTGGTGTTGCTGGGGCAGCATGCGGCCAGCGAGCTTTGGGATGTGGCCTTATTTCTAGGGAGTTGCTGAAGGTTTTCAAAATGTTTTTGTGCCAAAACACAGCCAACACAGAAGTTGCCATTTAAAACCACTCAAGTGCCTGATTCGTGGTGTGGGCTATCTTCACAATGTTGTGTTGTTCTGTCTACTCCGAATGTGTAAGATGTCATTACCCAAAGGGACTGTGCCCACTGTGACAGCTCACTCCCTTCAAGCCCGGGGGACCTCTGTTCTACTCTGTGCCTTTGACACTCAAAATGTTTCCTGTAAGCGGGGTCCCCCTGTTTTTGCCCTCTTGTGTCTGGCTGGCTTCATGTAGCACAGGAGTGTCAAGGCTGGTTCACCCTGGTCACCTCGATCAGGACTGCTTTTTCATGACTGAGTGATACGTCATCACATGGCTGTAGACCACATTCCTCACTGAGGAGGACCCTCGACTGTCGGTTGACACTGCTGCCCCAGTGGGCTCAGAGGACTGGGTTTCTGTGGTATGTGGGGGTGGGGAGGCTGTGAGGTAGAGCAGACTTGAGGGCATGTCTGAGGCCGGGTTCTCCAGAGGAGGGGAATCAGTGATGCGTTACTGAGGGTAGGGGGCAGGTGGCACTGTGCACAACAGAAGGAAATGCTGCCTTGTCCTGGGCCATGCTTAGTTGTCCCTATACTTGTTGAGGGCCGGGGGAGAGAAGTGGATCTCAGGGAAATGGCTCACAAGCTGGTAGAAGCAGTCAAGTTCAATTCTGGGCAGGTACCCAGTCAGTGAATTGGAAGTCCGACTGGAGACTTGTAGCTGGCAGGGGTGCTGATGAATCCAAAGATACGGAGACCAGCTGGTGATTGCAGAGGCGAAACTCCAGGTCAGTTGGTCAGGTGGCAGACCACCAAAGACTCCCAGAGGGGGCAGGCAGTAGGGCAGCCAGTAGGTTGGCTTAGTGTCGGAGCGGGTCATGGACACCTGATTTGGAATGGATGTGGGAGGGACAGGGAGGAGCTGGAGGTTGGTGAAGGGAGAGTACCTTTTGAGTGAGCACTTAGATTGTTGAAAACCTTTGAAGAATTGCCAGCCTATTGAAAAAGTCACTTTGGACCACTTTACCAGTAAGTGCCAACTTTCATAAAGGGTCTGGTGGGCAGAGTCACTGTGGAAGCTGACCCTACAAGCAACTACATCCTGGACGTCTTTGAATTCCCTGTGGGCCATTGGGGACCCTCTGAAGCAGGAGTTGCGGAAAGGAGGAGCCTCGCACCGGGGAGAGATTTGGAGAGTCAGCCTTCTGGGGATCCAGGGGAGGTGGATGTGTCCTTGTGAGCCCTGTCAATGTGAGAGGAAGAAGCCCAGGGTCCTTGTCAGGCAACACCTGGGATTCAGGCTACACCTGGTACCACCTCATTTATGCCACTACCTAGGCATCCAAAAAGTCTCAAATGCTCTGCCGTGGAGTCACTTTCTCCCCCGGAGCCTCGGAGCAGCTGGTGGTTTTGAACCCCTGACACTGCCACTAACAGCCCAATGCGTTACCACTCTACCACCAGGGCTTCTACCAATTGAGATGTCAGGCATCAGAGGCTGACAGGAGACTAGTCGGTGAGGTCCTGGTTGCTTGCTCTTGGACACTGAGCGATGTGCTGACCATGCGAATCCCCCGTGACAACCCAGCAGGAGAGGGACTCTTTCCACGTGTTTCCTTGTTGGGAACGTGCACAGCAGAATGTGAGTTCCGGGGTGTCGTGATGGCCCCTTGGGCTTCTAACCACAAGGCCAGCCGTTCTAGCCGCCAGCTGCTGGGTGGGACAGAGATGAGGCTGGCTGTCTGCTCCTGTGAAGAGTTCATTTCCGTCTCAAGCCTACAGGGGCCGTTCTCGCCCATCTGCCCTGACCTGCAGGGTCGCTGGGGTGGGGGGTGGGGGGTGGCAGCAAGCTGAGGTGACTTGTACAGCGCGGTGGCCCTGGCTGCATCTTTCCAATTCTGCGGTCATTCTGGCCGGCCTCGCAGGCCTCACTCCCCAGGGAACAGAGCAGCCGCCCCAAGTTGAGCTTTCAAGGGCTCTTAGAGGGGTTCCATGCAGGTGGTTCTTTGAAAGCACAATGCTCCCCGGGGCACTGAACGATCAAAGCTCCATCACGGCTAACAAGGAGTCACGGGGCCTGGGGGCTCCGTGCGGTCTCAGAACTTGAGGTCGTGGTAGAACAGGTTGGTCCGGAAGGCGCATGACCAGGCCATCCAGGGTGCACCTCGGTCTCCCTGGTTGGAGGAAGATGGTGATGAACATGTAAGACACGTGGACTAGTAGAACTATGGGACCATCCGTTCACACAGCAGGAAAACTAGCTGCCACCGCCAGCCAGCTGCTCTGAAAGGTCATGGGCGGGTCGCATTGCTGTCAAGCATGGATTCCCACTCACAGTGACACTGTCGTGCCCAGTAGAATTGTGCCTGTGGGTATCTGAGCCTGTCGACCTTGACCGGAGCAGAAAGCTGCCGCTACCTCACAAAGAGGGGTGGTGGGTTTGAACCACTCACCTTGTATAACCTATGAGGCCACCAGGGAGCCTTGTCTTGGATAGAGTCGGGGAAAATTGTAGGACACAGTTCACAATCAGAAGAGAGACCAGGCTTGGTGATCAGAGACTGGCGTAACCCGAGACCCCGGTCCTTAGTCATACTTCCAATCTGGGATGGAATTAACCCTCCAGGACTCAATTTTCATCCACACATAAATCCCAAACCAAACTCATTGCCATCGAGCTGATGTCGACCCTATAGGACAGAGCAGAATTGCCCATGAGTGTCCAAGACTCGCTCTTTAGGGAGTAGAAAGGCCCATCTTTCTCCAGTGGAGCAGCTGGGTGGTTTTGAACTACTGACTTTGCAGACAGCACCCCAAAGCATAACCACGCTGCCATCATGGGTCCTTAGATAGGTCAGTGATGGGAACAGTAACACTAGTAGCACCCACGGGATAGCCTGGAAAATTTAAAAGGCAGTGTTTATCTAGGGACACCTTTCAAAGGGAACGCTAGCAGCAGTACTTTGGGACTCAGCCTCATGTTTTACAGTCTTTTCCAGTGGAGGCATTGAAAGCTGGCCTTTGACGCTGCCCACTTTGCCAGAGGTAAAGGGCCCTGTGGTCCCAGGAGGCTGTGCAGCTCTGGTAATTTCATCCATTGCTGTCTTGTGGGGGGAGGTCAGATGCTTACAGACATCCTCCCTGAAGGCAGCTAGTTGCCAGACTACAGGGTAGACCCCACTCTCTGCTGTTCAAGGACAATGGACAGCCCCCCCACCCCACCCCAGGTGTGTTCACACCCTACTAATATGGTCTCTATCAGTTGAGCCAGGAACAGGTCAAACCGGCTCTGTGACTTCCAAAGTTAAGCTGCCATCCTAATTCTAGGATCCGCCCATCTTCCCACATGTATGCCCCCAATCCCTCCTCTTCCTATTGCGTGGATATCCCTAGATCACCCCCTCCCACTAGTGCTATATTACCTATAGCACAACCCCTTCCTGTGACATATGTCTTCACCTGTAATTAGGGGGCTTGCACATCCCCAGAGAATATAAAAGCCTTAGTTAGCATTAAAGATTCTCCACGTGGACCACCAAGCGGGGCTGAGGTGAGCATGCTACCATGAAATGTGTCTGACTCCATTATTGCAATCTCTCTT